TTAAGATCCCTCCCCTGATTCTCCCCACTTCAAGAGACTCTGCTTGGTAGCATCGCATTCAGATGTTGCCCTGTGACCCGCACCCCAACTCCCACATACACATACAGCGCCATTGCTGGAAATTCCCAGTAATGCAACAAATGCAGCATCCTGCGCTGCACCCCTAAAACCTTGCTAGCCTCGCGGGGAACACGAGCCCACTCTCAGAGACGGAGAGGGGGAAGGCAGAGAGAAAAGTTTCCCGAAGCCCCGTTTGGCAACTTACCGCCGGCGCTGAGGCTGCTCCATCCCACCCCCTTCGGGGGCCGGTGGAGAAGGACGGCAGGCGCCAGAGCCGGAGCGCCGGGTGGGGCGGCCGGGCAAAGGCCAGAGGATGCTGGAGCTTCCCGGCCAGCTTGAGGTGTGGCGGGGCGGGGGGGCGGATCGGACCGCCTGCCTCCGCCTCGCCAGGGTGGGAACCCAGCCCTTCCCGGCGCGGCTGCCGAGGAGCGGCTGGGCGGAGGCGCGGGGGCGACGGGATGCGATTCCTGCCCCCTCCCCGCGACCCCCTTTGGGCAACCCGGAAAAGGTTGCTCTCCGTGGAAGGCGGCGGAGGGCGGGGGAGGGCTGCTTCGGAGGGCGGCGACGCTCGGGCTCTTGCGCCGGGGGTCCCTCTCCGGGCGCCGCGAAGAGGCTTCCGCCAGGGCGTCCCCGAGAAGCGCGCCTCGGAGCCGCCTCGACCGAGAGGATGCGGCCGGGGGAGCGGCGCTCGGGTGACCGTGAAAGCAGAGAGAGACCCTCCCCGGCGTCCCCTCAAGCGGGCAGCTACTGCTGCCGCCGGCCAGCCGGCGTCCTCACCTGGATGCAGTAGCGGCGATCCTCCTCCCGGTTCGGCATCCAAGGTGAGCGAGCGAGGAAGGGCCCGATCCCGCCCCTGCTGCTCCGTCCGCCCGCGGACCCCGCTTAGTCTCTGCCGCCGCCGCCGCACGCACGCGCCACCCCCTCCCGAGGAGAGACTCCAGCCCGCCTGGCCCCGCCCCGGGCCCGGAGGATGCGAGGCAGGTCCGCCCCCTCTGCGAGACCGCGCCCCCTCCCCGCCCGCCTCGCAGAAGGCAGCCCTCGCTAGGCCGGGCTCCCGTTGCTGAGGTCCCCGATTGGTGCCCGGGAGCGCCTGCGAAAAGGACGCGCCTGGAAGAAACGGGCGCCTTTCAGAAGGCAGCGGCACTTTGTACATGCTTGCCGCGCCTCTTCCTTCCCGCGAGAAACAACGGCGCAGCCTCAGTAACAGCGAGAGCTAAGAGATTGCGAGGCCGGCCGGCCGATAGACCGACATCCACCCCCGAGAGGAAGAGCGAGGCAGCGGGGGAGGCGCCGCTGTCCGGCTGCTGATCAGCCCCCTCCTGGAGGGAATCCCTTGGGCGAGAGTCACCTATTTGGAGAGGGGGACCAATCTGTGTGCAGAAGGGCCCCCTCTGCGCCTCCTCGGGCTGGTACAGAGCACATGCTGGGGGGGGGTGTGTGTCGGTGACTCCGAATCTGGATACCACAAGCGGCGTCTCCACTCTGAGGGAAGATGCTGGCGACGGGCTGGGAGAGCAGGAAGTCGGACTCCGGGGCACTTATGACCTTCATCCCTGGGGCGAGGAGACTGGTGAGGGGAGGACTCTCCCCTCTCCCTGGCAGGGATCTAGGGCTCCCTCCATTCTCAGAGCAGAGAAGGAGAAAAAGAGCCAACAACTCTCTCCTTTTCACACACCCTTGCAGTGGAAAAATCCCCCCCCCCTTGGAGAGTGGTGGTTTCTTTTCCAGGAAAGGTGGCTTCAATGAAATCCAGCTGGCAGCTCCTGATGGGCTGGGCAGGGAGGAGCAGGGCCTCCTCTGCAAGGAAAACCAGAAGCCAGACTGAGGGGCTGCTCAAGGAGGACCCAGGAAACGCATCCTTCTCTGCCCCGGCTAACTTCGGGAGGGGAGGGGCTCTGCTTAGCCAGCAAGGAAGAGCTTGCCTCCCAGTAGGCATTGGGTCAGGAGGAAACATGCTGGGAAGACCAGCTGGAGAAAACTCAAACGGGCAAAGAAATAAGAACCAGGAATTGGTCATGGAAACCGGGTCTGGCTGTAGTGGGGTGTAGAGCCCACAAGACCAAGAAATTGTTGAGAACTGAGTGAGTGTCCTGCTGGAGTTAAAGGTAGGGTCAGTCTTGTTCCTCAGTCCCTGGGAGGAGGAGCTGTGGATCTGACCAAAACAAGCCCATTCTCCCTCGGACAACTTTCATCCTGCCTCCAGCCCTCCTTTCCTGGAGAAGGAGGGGGAGAAAGTTGTCCGGCTACAGAGCATCCTGAAAGGCAGGGATGATGGAAACCCTGTTCTGTCAGGGGTTAGAGTGGGCTATCGTCCTGAGATGGCCTTGGAGTGCTTGCTGATGGCCTCTGGTGGAGCTAGGATGGGGGTTGTGCAGCCATCCTGGTTCTCTGTGATCCCTCGGCAGCTTTGGTACCACTGTCCATGTTATACCGCTGGTAGGATTTAAGAGTCAGGGACCCTATGTTGGGCTGGATCTCCTCCTCCTTTGTGATTGGGTCGTAGACGTGGGCCAGGGGAGAGAGCCGAGAGGGGGCTCAGTGCTCTCACCTCTCTTGCTCAATGTCCACGTAAGGCTGCTGATCAAGAGAATTGCTGGTTTGAGGCCAGATATCATCAGGATGCTGCCCAGTTGCACCTCTTGACTCAGAATATCTGGCTGTTGCCAAGGTCTTGTCCCAGGGGGTCAAGGCTAGGTGGGAACTTGAGCAACCCCAAGAGGTTGATTAGCTGTGGGTATTGAACCGACTCTTTCACTCTGAACAGGGTCCCACTTCTCACTTTGAGGGTCTTCATGGACTCGCAGCTCCTACTTGGGAGGCAACTGTGGCCAGGAAGGAGTTTGTACCCATTCATTGAATGCACCCCTTGCTAGAGCGGGGGGGGGGAGTCCTTTAGACAGCCACTCGTATCTCGATCACCTTGCATTTAGACGGTCTGCACAAGGAGACTGCACTTGAAAGCAACTTGGGCACTTCGGCTGGTACCCAACGCTGTTGCCTGGCATCCCCAGGCCTGCCTGTGTCACACAACTGCTCCGTAAGCTGTAATGGCCACCTGGAAGCATCCTCTGGCCTTATTCAAATGGGCCCAGAAAAGCTGGCTCCTCCCCCAGGCCTTGGGCTAAAGAAGGCCACAGACCCTTCACAGGAATGATTGGTTTGCAAGAATGACCTGCACGCTGTTGTTCAAAATTCTTAATTTGTATTATATTGTTTTACATTTATATGCTCTCAGCATCATGATGTGTTGGGCAGAAAGAAGGTATTTAACCTTGTAGGCCCTTTTTTGGACAAGATTGGGCAAAGACTTCCTTTGGAAAATGCCTCTTGCAGATATGAGGCAGTAGGAACAATAACGAGATGAGAAGTTTAGCCCACAGAACAGCCTGTTTCTTAAACCCTAAACCCAGGAGTAAGGCTTTCCCAGCAGGGGATTAGCGGGGAACGGAGAGGATTAACACTCCAGCAAACTGGAAAGGAGCAGCCTCCGGAACCGCCAAGGGGAGGGGGACATGGCGGCACAGCGCAAGGGCTCTTAAGTGTCTCCCATAAAAATCAGCTTTCTTAGAGAAAAGAGCTTGAGCACAAAGTAGACACTTGGAAGGAAAAATAACTAAGAATAGCGAGGCCTTGGCACTTAATTATGTGTTGCATAATCTCTCCATCCCCCAATCCCCCTTGCAGCCTCCCTCTAAAATTGTGGAGGACACATCCACTGAGCAGGCCAAAACAGACCCCAGGAGACCCTGCTCAGGCCGTGAAACATCCAGAGAAGAAGCCCAGCTGAGGGTTTCATGGAATCTTTGCCCAGAATGTCTGTAGAAGCACTTTATGGCCATTAACAACGTTCAGAAAGCCTGGCAGTCAAGGGAGGCCTGTCAGCCATGAGGGGCGAATGGATGCCAGCTTCAGCCAACGGCTTCCTTGGAAGGAGCAGCTGGAGGCTATTTGTTCTGCACACTTCAGGGCTGCCCAACACTTGACTGTTGTTTATTGAATAACAAGGTTTGTTGCAATCACACTGAGGAATAACCATGGTTATAAATCAAAGCGTGCACAAAACTCAGGCCAAGCAGCCTCTTTTTCAGCACCGCTTCTCTCCTTGCCCACTCTCTCCTCTAAATACCGATGCCTGGACGCAAAAACTGCACAGGTGCACAGAATGCCAAAGTGCTCATAATGGGGGGGGGGAATTACAGTCAGAGGCAGGCAGGAGATGGGGGGTAGATTCTGCCCCTCTTGGAAGAGGCCCATGGCTATCTTCCGATCCCAAAGAGGCTTGGAGGCCTCCGAGGCCAAGCTAGAGAGGAGGCAGCCGGGGCCAAGGTTCACCATGCAATGGCAGCCCTGGGGAGTCATGGGAAGAGGGATGCCATCTTCCCTCTCGAGGTCAAGCCTCCCCAAGCAGTGGGGAGCCCCTCTGCCAGCCAGCTCCTGCTTGTAAGCGGGCAAATTTCCAGGGACTGGGAGAGTTTGGGGACACCCCAGCTCAGCTGTGCAGCGGCAGGCAGACAGAGTCTGGAGCCCAGAGAAGCATCTGGGGCTGGAACCCCCCCCAAGGGCCATTCCCCCCCCCAGGACTCCCCCAGTTGGTTTTCAAGCCCCAAAGAGGCCTGAAAAGAAACCCTAGCCATAGTCCTGGCTTGTCAGGGTGGCACAACTCAAGTATGTCAACAAGCCATCATTCCCAACCTACTTGGGAACGCTCTGTGCTGCCGATGCTGGGAGTCACAGCAGGGGCGGCTAAGCAGCATCTGTGCAGGTTGCTTAAAACTTCCCGATTCTTTGGGCTGATCTGCCTGTGGCTGCAGCATTTTCAGAGACTTTGTACCAGAAAAAGGCTTCTTGTCCTCACAATTTCCAGGATGAAAACATAGATCAGAGAGTTTTTCTTGAGGAACTAAACATCGATTTCATGTGGAATTGACATTGAAGGGGAACCAGGTTGAATTCTATATTTATACAGCTCTGAAATGGACTTTTTCAAGGTTACAAAACTTGGCAAACGAACACGGACCGACAGTAAGATCCATTTCTTATGCAAGAGCCCAACTGTGCATCGTTTTCCTCTTTGCAAGATCAGCAACTCTCCTGATTGACTCCTGGGCAGCAGAAACAGAGACAGCACAGGAACCCCACTGGCCCAAAGGAGCAGGCCAAACTGGGGCTCCCCCTGGGGTGACTTCACAAGGATGGGGGGGGGCAGTGGGCAAGTGCCAACCTTCAGCAGCTCCCTGCCTGCCTGAGCTGAAGTGATCACCTGCAGAGGGCTGAGTCCCAGCAGCACCTGCCAGGTGCGCCCGGAGGAGCCAAACATCCCCCCCTCCTCTCCCTCAAGGTCCCAAGGTGCTTTTGAGCGGAGCACCTGCCATTAGCGCCCCCCCCCCCAAGACTCCAGAGGTCGCCAGAGGGCCTGCTTTCCCATCCGGGAGCCTGGTGCTGACTGGTGGGGGAAGACTTGGAGGGAAGGGAACAATTGCTGAGGGTCTCCCTGCCAGGCAACAGTTTCTCCCCCAAAGTTCGGGGGGGGGGGGAAGAGGAGCCATGGGCCCTCCCAATCAGCCATCAGGAAGCTGCGGAGGCCCTGCAGGCCCAGAGAGCAAAAGCCTTCCCAGGCACTCGAGGGGCCGTGTGTGTCCGTGTTCCCCTGAGAAGCAACTGGGCCGCTCTGGGCCTGCCTCCCAGCCCAACCAGGCCTGCCCTCTCCAAGGGGATGCCAGAAATCACTTCCCCTTCTCATTGCTCTCCCTGACCCTCAAGACCAGGTCTTGAAGGAGAAAGGCACAGAAAGGCTGGGGCCCTGTGGAGGAGCCTTGGGGTGGCTCGGCCCCCCTTCCATCCACAGCCACTGAGATGGTCAATTCTCTTTATTCTGGCTCCTGGCCAGCCTTCGACAACCCAGAAGTCAAGCAGCAAGGCCACTACAGAAGTTCAGACAAACCAAGAAGAGGAAGGGCTGTCAAAGGCAGGGTGGCCCCCTTCCCCCCCTCCCCACTGCGAGTTGGGGAGCCTTCCCAGGCATCAGCCACTCCCTGGTGCTCCTGCAAAGGAGCCATCAGCACCTCTGGCAGGACAGCCTGGACCCCCTGCTCTGTTCTCCTGCAGAGCTTCTCCAGAATGTGGTCCATGCTGGCTTGGGATGATGGGAGTGATATCCCAACCCATCTAGAGGGCAGCAGTTTATCAAAAGCTGCATACTGCACATCCAGACAAGCCTCTGCCAGCTGAGTCCAGCCTGAGTCACAAAAGGCTCGGCCATTTTTTGTCTCCTTTCCCTCGCAACCCACAGCCCCACATGTTGCTGATGCGCTTCCCACAGAAATGCGACAGAGAACTGGGCGGGCTCAGCAGAGGGAAGGCAGGCTTCGCTTTAGGCCCCCAAAGCAGCAGGATTTCCTTGGAGACGAAGGCCGGTTCCTGGCCAGGGAGGGGCAGGAGACCAACTCTCTTCTATTGACCCCTTTGGTGAGCTGATCTCTCAGATGACCCAGCAGTCATGGTAGGCTACCTATGCGCCAAGGCAGCCAGGCCTTGTGACCAAGTGGAAGCGGGCAGAGACCCTCACTGCAGCCTAGAAGGGGTCTCCCCCTGCTCCCCTTGCCACATGGGCGGCCTGTTCCCGGCCTCTGTATATTGGCTATAGGCCTCTTCAAACAGCTCCTGGCAGGGCACAGCGGCAGCGAGACGGGCACAGAGGAGGAAGGCACCGGCCATCTTGCGATGCAAGGAGTAGCTCTCCTCCGGAGGGGGGCACAGGCGGTGCTTCAGCATCACGGGGATCAGGTCCTGGATGCAGCGGGTCGTGTCCTGGGAGCTGAAGTCAAAGGGCCCTGGGGTCGAGAAGACCTTGCCCAGGACCATCACTGCATCCACGTGGGCCTCCTCAAAGACCTGGAGGAGGGAGAGCCCAGATGCGGTCAGCCATACAGCTTCTCTACCTTTCCAAAGTGTCTGTGTGGGGTGAGGCCTGGGTCCTGCCCACCCGGAGCAGGCGTGAGCTCCTTGGGCTCATGGGGGAAAGGGGGGGGTGCAATTGCTACTTTTCCTGCCCCTCCCAAAAGCACTTTTAAAGCCAGGCCTCCCATTCCTTCCTGCTTTCTGCTGCTGAACTCGCCTTGCTTTCAAATCCAATCAGGAATCCCAGGTCCTTTGATTTCTGAAGCACTTTCTCTCTGTCGCCATCAGCAGCGGCTCTCACCACCTGGTCGCAGAGAGCAGCCTTCAGACCCTCCTTGTCTAAGAGCCCACCTGGCAGGCAGGGGGCCCAGGGGGCCGTCCCTTTCGGCAATCAGGTGGGTCCCCCTGCCTACCTCCAGTTCCTGAACCAAACGTGCTAATGGAGCAAGCAGGCCCACAGTGGGGCTCCTTTCCCTCCTGCTCCGTGAAGGGGGAGAAGGGAACCCCGGGGGTGTCTCCAGGGAGGGGCCTGCCCTGCTTCCATCCCTGAGGCCGCCACAATTGCCAAGCCGGGGCACTTGCCTCAATGTAGTGGTCAGTGAACTCCTTGCAAAAATCCCGGCTAGCCCCAAAGTCCAGCAGGGTGATCTGCAAGGAAGGCAGTGCTGAGGGCCACAGCAATCACAGTCCTCCCTCCAAAGAAGGGCTGCCTCCCCCCACGGCCCAGACTGAATTGAGGGAAGGCCCACCTTGCGTCTCTCAGCGTCGTAGAAGAAGTTAGACCAGTTTGGGTCTGTCTGCATGAACCGAAATTCGAAGAGCTCCCGGAGGCAAAGACGGAGGACCTGTGAGCAGATCTGGCCGAGGAAGAAAGGCAGCCGGTGGATCACGGCAGGAAGGGCACTGGGTCCCCAAAGGGAGACTTTGCCGTTCAGATCCTGCTCTGACAAAAATCCTGCCCAGCAGCCCTCACCTCGTTGCGAGTCCCCTGGTCCAATTCCTGGCACTGGTCCAGCGGGATGCCCCCCACCAGCTCCATAGACAGCACCCTCTTGGTAGACAGCTCGTCGACCACTTCCGGCACCTCAAAGAAAGGGTCACCTTCTAGAAGCTGCCTGGGGAAAGGGAGCCCTGTTGGGACCCCTGCCGGAGAAGAGCCCCCCCGAGCCCCTCCCTGGGCAATCCTCCCCCCAGAGCCTCTGAGGCCCAGGAAGCCAGCAGGACACCATCTGGGGGAAGCCCCATGCAAGGGTCGTTAACTGGGTGGCCCAAGGACTCCCACCCGGCCACGGCCTACCTGAACCTCTTGGTGCTGCTGGCTTCCCGCTCGTAGTCGCACTCCCTCTCCAGCTCCTTCTGCAGGATCTGCAGGGTGTTGTCTGCAAACAGGCCTGGCAAGGGAAGAGCGGAGGGCTGCCTGACTCCACCTTCTGCCCTTCCCAATGCCCACCCCTCCTGGCTCCTCACAGAGGGCGAGCACCTTCCTTGCAGGGGCACAAGGCTCACAGCCCAGCAGCCTCATTTTTTAGGGACAGGGCCACAGCTGAGCTTCTGGGAGCTCTTCCTCCTCCCAAGACCCCAATTTTCATGGCAGTCAGAAGCCCGAGAAATGCATTACAAACTACACCTTTTCCCCTTACCTGCTGGGAACATCGTGCTCATCCTGAGTACCGACAGAAGGTTGTCCATGTCGCTCTGGATGCTCTGGGCAATGCCGGGATACTGCAAGGACGAGGGTTGGAGGCAGAGCAGAGGTTAGAGCTGGGGCAGGACAGGGCCTCCCACGCTAGTTCCCACCTCTTCCCTGCTGGGCCTCTTTCCACTCTCCTTACCTGGATCTTCATTGCCACCTCCATCCCATCCCTCAGCACTCCAAGGTGCACCTGCCCCACAGAGGCAGCAGCAAAAGGCATTTCATCAAAAGAGGCCATCCGCTCACGCCAGTCAGTGCCCAGTTCTTCGGACAGCACCTCCTGGAAGGAGAGAATCCCACAGATCAGGTTCAGGGGGGGATTGGGGGCACTTAAGGTCAGCCAGCCAGTAAACAACTACATCAATGGTTGCCTGGGAAGACCTGTCCTCTGCAGAGTCTCAAGGCCACCAGATTGTAGCTGCCGCTGCCCTCCATCCTGTCCCATCAACTGGAACTTTCCAAGGGCTTAAAACTGAACTCCCCTCCCCCCCGACACCACATCAGGAACACACAGTCATCTGCGAGACAGGCATGAAATCTGCACTCTGGCGGACACGCTCGAAGACCTGCTGCAGCTGGGGGCTGAGCAAGTAGCTGTCTGTGGAGAGAACGGAGGGTTACTGGGGGGTTGGTCCCAATAAAATACGCCTGCCACAAAGTTTGCAACGGACGGCAAGAGACAGTTTGCTAAATATGGAGTGACAGGAAAGCAGTAAGCATACCTTCAGTGCTTGGCCACTGAAAGCAGGCTGCAACTCCCCCCCCCCCCCGGCAAAAATGAGAGACATCTGTCAGGGAACTGCCAGCTGGGCACAGCTCTTCTGTGCAAGGGAGGCTGGTCCAGCTGAGATGCAGCTGCTCCAGGGAGTTTCTGGCAAAGCAAGCAGAGAAGCTCCATCCCTACCTTGAATGCTTAACATCTGCCCGATCTTCAGAGCTGCCCCTCGCATCTTGCAGAGAGTGTCAACCATCCGCTGTGCATTGGCTTCGGAAAGGCTGCTCCCTGCAGGGAGATTGGGGGCGAGGAATGTGGAGCCAAACTCACCAGGGCGGGCTCATCTGCCCCGCCTGCACAGCAACACTTGGGCAGGAAGCGGGGGGGGGGACACTTGGTTGCTCCCCTCCCTTTCCAGGCCCTGGTCCGACATATTTGGCTTTGGAAAAACTGCACGCCAGCTTTCACCCTGCTGCCCCCCCAAGGCCCAGACGCAGAGCTTCCCTTACCCTTGGCGCTTTGGTCCCCACTGAGGGAGTTCCTCACAATGTCGACCAAGGCCCCGAAGCCCAAGCCCACGGCCAGACCTGGGAGGAAAGGAGTGGGCAGGGCAGGGCGCTCAGGTTCTCAGGGGAGCAGCCCAGCCCAGACTGCCCCGCAGGGAGCCTCGCTGCAGACGGTGGAGGGAGGGACCCCCAAAACAGAGCACAAGGTTCGGCTCCGCTTCCCTTTCCCGGCCCCTCGAGCCGCTCCCCGCGGCTGGGCCTCCTGGCCTCCTTAGGGCCGCCCCGCCAGTAGCGGTGCCGCGAGCAGAGGCTTCCCCCGCAGGCCTCCCCCAGAGGCAGATCGACGGGAGGGGCGCCGCCGACCTCCTCGGGGCAGGCCCGGTGGAGCAGGCGGCCCGTCTCCCCCTGGAAGGCCCCACGGCAGTTCCGGCACCCCCGGGGGGAGGAAGCAGCAGCCCCGGCGGAATCCCGCCGCTCAGCCCAGGAGCCGGGCCGGAGGCCGAGCGCCGGGCCGAGACGCGCCTACTGGGCTCCTTCCTCCGGCTGCGGCCCGCCCGGCCCCCCCGCCGCCCTTCCCCCCCCGCTCACCTCCGAAAGCGGCCAGCCGCCCGACGCGCGTAACCGGCACCTTCCGCTCCCGGGCCCGCTCGCTCAGCTGCGGAGAAAGCAAGTCAGGTGTCGCCTCGGCCGGAGGCCCGCCCGCCGGCCCCGCGGAAGGCGCGCTCACCTGGGGCCTGGCCTTGGCCGCCGCCTCCGCGCTCTTCCGCGGCCGGGCCTCCCGGGCTCTGCGCACCTCGTCCGCGCTCAGGCCGCGCAGCCACGACGGCCGATGCAGGCCCGCCCAGGCGGGGGAGAACCGCGCCGGCGCCCGGAGCCCCTGCGGCCGGAGGAGGAGATGAGCGCCGCCGCGCAGCATGACCGCCCCCGCACCGCTCACCGGGGCCCCCGCCGCGCGCGCCCGCCGCCACATCTCCGCCGGCCCCCGCTTCCGGTCGGAAGTCGCCGGCTCCCCTCAGACCCGCCTTTCCCGCCGGGCGCCCAATGGCAGGTTCCGGTGTGCTCTCGCGCTCCGCCCCTCTGCTCTCCGCGAGGTCCTAGCGCTTCTCGCCGACCACCCTGGCTGAGTCGTGGGCGGCCCCGGCCGGGACCGAGGGGGCTGCGCGCCCAGGAGAAGGGCGAGCCGCGTTCGCTGAGTCGGGCAGCCGGGTCGGCAGCCGCCCAGGCTTGAGCAGGAGCCGCTTCTGGGCTGGAGTCCTGGAAGGATGGGTGGGTCGGTGCCGGAGCCCCCCACGCGCGGTTCTCTTCGGGTGGGCGCGCGGCGGGGCCAGAGGCAGCTTGGCCGAGCCAATGGGGGATACGGGCTCGCGCTTATTCCCCGGACTAGGGAGGAGATTTGGCAGCTGTGAAGCCCTTTTGAACTTGGGGAAGCCGCAGAGGAGGCTTTGCTACCCGGGCTGGGCAGCTGCAGATGCTTCCGTCTCTGAGCGCCGAGCTCTAGAAATCCCGTTGCCCGCTGAGACCGAGCCCAGCTGTTGCTCGGAACCGGCAGCAGGCAGAGCGAGCGACCTCTTGGGAAAAGGGGGCTAATATCGGCAGCCTTAGCCAAGAACACAAATAGTATCAGTTGGGAAAGCGCTACCAGACTCTGACTGTCACCCTCGACGCAGCTCTCCTCGTGTAAATGTGCGGTGAGGGGAACCTGAGCTGCAGGATAAAGCCCTGTGCTTCCCTGGCCACCAGTTGCCTCAGAGCGTCCGGCTGATTTTGAGGTCAACATTTCCGGCTGACTTTGGTTGCACTTGCTTTGGAGGGCAGGCGGTGGGCAGGTTTTTTTGTGCAAGCAGGATAATGGGTTGTGGTGTTTAGCATATTACTCTGGATTTCCCATCTGTTGTAAACTAACCACACAGACAGAAAATAACCCAAAAAACCCTGCTTAGACATCATAAATAACTTTTTTAAAACCCTAAAACTGGTTGGAAATGTATACATTAATTCTTTTTTGTCTGTTCACATAGCTTGCTGACATAATGGCTGGCTGGGTTCCCACATACACAAAATCACACCAACTCATTTAACCTCATCTCAGTGCTGGTGGGACTATAGCCTTTATTTCTCAGGCCTATCGGAAATTCTTAAAACATTTGTTAAAATCTTAAGTTAAAAAAAAAAATTGCCAGGTCAATGGATGCCTATTACAGCTATTTGAGAGTGCATTGTTTTTAATATGTGTTTTTAGAATGTTCTTATACTGTAATTCTTGGGCTATTTTGTGTGCATTTAATAAAAAACACAGGCTCGCCCTTACTTTCTCCTTAAGAAACATTTGGCCAATGGATCAGGCCCACCAACCTGAACGTGCCAGTCTTCCAGTGCCATAACTTACCCTGCAGTAAGATGGGTGGCCAATAAATTTGACAAATAAAATAAATAACTGGGACTTTGTTTGCTCTTTGGGACTAGTGAATCATGGACAGGGGTACAAGTCCCAGAGCATCACTGACTAATGTTATCACATATTTTCTGGAGGAACCACAAAACTGGTCATTCAGAAAATACTTGCATGTTTCCTGCAAGGGAACAAGTCACGGCAGCATGACTTGCTCCCAGATCTGTGTTTTGTCTGAATCATGCGAGGAAGAGCTGTGCTGGGGGTGAATGATGCAACATTTGCTGACAAATCTGGTAGGGCTGGGCGGGGGAAGAGAGACGTAGGGCAAAACATCCCTGACCCCAGACTAGACATCCAGGCAGCATGAGTGACATAACATTAACAGGAAATGCTGTGAGTCACGCTGGATGACTGCACCAGCTGTGAAAGGGGGCACAGCCAAAGTTCCCAAAGAAGAGATGGGCAAGGTCCAGAGAGCTCCTGGCTTCGGTGACACATGGCGGAGGCAGGCCCAAACTCAGAGCTTTGGGGTGCAAGTCACACCCACCAGAAGGCGATTTGCTCCAGCCTCTTGAAGCCCCCCCAAGCCCCTTTCAAAGGCTCTGGCAATTTATGGATCAGGGAGTCTAGTGTGTGAGCCCATCACACAGGATGAAATGGACGTTTTCTCCCGGCGGTTCCGGGTGTCTGGGGCTTCCAGGCCGGTTCATGCTGGGCCAAGGCCCGGGCGAGTGGGAAGGCTGCTTCGGCCGGCCAAGGCAGGAGGCTGGACGGGCTCCGCAGCTGATTCCGGGCATCTGGCGGTTCGCCGCCCTCCCGGCCCTTCCCGAACAGCAGCTCCGCCCCGCCCCGAGCTGGCAGTGGCCGGGCCCCCCCTTCCGCGGGTGTCGCTCTCCTCGCCTGGCTCCGCTTCGCCGCTCGCCGGGAGAGGGACGGGGATCGCCTCGGAGGCCAGCCCTCCCCACGCGGCCGCCGGACGCGCCTCCTCCGGCCGGCCGACGCCCAGGCGCCCCAGCGGCGGCCCCTCGCCGGCAGCCGGTGCGGGAGGGCGATGCGTTTGGAGGCCGCCGGCGCGGGAGAAGCGCCCTCAGGCGGGGACGAGCGCGGGGACTCGCAGGTGAGGCGGTGGGCGGGCGGGCGGCCGGCGGGGCTGGGCCGGTGCCGGGGCCGCTCCCCTGCGGCGCGGGTCTTGAGCCGGCATGGCCCGCTTGCGCTGCCGGGACCGCGGAGGGGGGCGAGCGGAGGGGGGCTGCCCCCGGAAAAAGGCGGCGCGGTGGGGGCGACCCTGCGAGGTTCCCGGGAAGGAGTGGCTACCGCAGCCCGAGCCCTCCCTGCCGGAGCGGCCGGAGCGCCTCAGCACGTCTGCGCGGCCTGCCGTGGCCAGAGAGAAGCTCCGGCCACGGACGCCGAGCTGCCCGACCATTTGCCGGAGCCCGGGAGGCGGTGGGTGGAGGGCCGGCCGACGGGTCCCCTTGCGGGCATTGAGGGCTCAGCGGCTTTGGGTCGGCGATAGGACGGCTCTGCACGTAATGCAGGCAGCGGCGGCGGCTCGTTTTCCCAGCAAGCAACCTCGGAAGCCTCTGGTTGAGTCCGGGCTACCTCAAGGGGAGCGGTTCTCCCGTGGGCGTCTTGAGTGGTGGGTAACGATTGAGCCGAGCTGTGATTTGTGGTTTATTATTGATTTCTTCCTCTTATATGGTTGCCCAGATCACATACATGGGCACAGTACAAATGTAAAATAAAATATAGTTACTAAAATACCTTTAAGAGCAAAAAGCCCACAGCAACTGAAGATCCATAAAAGGCCTTCCAGGTAGCCAGGGCCTGGGCTTCTTTGCACACTTTGGCCCCAGCCTGGGCAAGAACCAGGTCTCCAGGGCCTTTCAGAGGCTGGCAAGGGAATCTTGGTGGCCGATATTCTGGTAGCCGCAAGAGGCCTCTCCTGCTGGATCAAATGGGAGAAACGGCTGGGGAGTAAAGAGGCTGACCGCAAGCCACGCAGGGACTTTAAAAGAGACCGCCAGCACCTTGAGCTGAACACACAATGGGAGCCAATGCCGCTTGCAGGGCGGTGGTGTCACATGTGCCCAATATTGTGGCCACCGAAACAGCAACAAAGGCACCAATGATTCTGCTAGTGAGGGCAACCTGTCGGGCTCCATTTTACAGCGAGAGCGCCTCACTGGATTCTGGATCCCTTGGGCCTCTGCACGGAGTTTCTTTGGTAGCTGCAGCAGCATGGAACTAAGTTGCCTCTGCTCTCCCTGGGACGCTTCCTGCCCAGCCCCAACCTGAGGGTGTCCTGGTGGTCTGATCCTGCTTCCTTTTCAAGGTCAGGCAGAGCAAGTGGAGCCACCAACCGGAGAATTCTTCCTGCTGACACAGGAGAAGGAAATTTCCTTTATGGAGGTGCTATCTTGATGGACCTGCTCTTCCATCTGGAGGGGTCAAAGATCGACCAGATCCAAGTGCTGCACAGGCAGGAAGAATGAAATCTCACATCTGCCAGTCACAAGCCACAAGTCAAGGGTAGCCTTTCCCTTGTTTCACAGCCCCTCTTGTGCACCCCACCCCCGCATACTCCTACCCAGGGAGCACCAGCTGACGCCATTGACTCAGTGCCAGATGTGCAAAGTATTTCCAGCTTTACAAGAGATGAGGAACTTAATCAACAATGGTTGCTTGTTCTGAATCCTGTATCTTCTGCGATTTCTCATCAATTCAGCCACATTTTCTTGCTTTTTAAAAACCTGGTTTCCATGAGTGATCAGTTGGTTTCGGCAGGAGAGGGAAATGTGCTTGCCTCCTGCCTCTTCTTTGGGGTGATTATAGGGGGCCTGTCTCCTCCTGGCCCCTCCGATCCTCCCAGGAAAGGATCAAATGCTTGCGGGGATCGAGGGGATCAAATGCTTGCGGATCAGATGCTTCTTCAATCCTCGTCCCCAAGTGGGGGGGGGCTGACTTTGGGGACTTTCAGAATTCCCAGACAGGTGGACAGGGTTTTGGCTCTCCTGTCCCAAGAGTGGGGCTGCTCCTTCTGTCACGTGAATGGCAAGCATGGGGAAGGGTGTGCATGCAGGCCCAGGACACTTTGTCTATCTTGAGAGGAGAAGATTAAGAGTGAGAAGGGACAAAGTCTAGTAAAAGTTCTATTTCAAGTAAACACCCACAGAGTGCTGGAACTCTCTTGACTCAGAGAAAAACTACTCCAGTCACCACTCTCTGACGTCATTTGTTTTCTGGAATATTCTGAAACACACAGAGCACTTTTTTCTATCTGTGAGGCACAGGTCTGGCCTCTTTTGATGAGCTGCTTCAGTTGCTGCAGGGGCAATGACTTCATTTCCAGCGGAATGAATCATCCTGGGCTGATTCAGCTGCTTCTGGCCGGTCTGTAGAGCTGAGCGTGGCTGACTCATGCCCAGCTGGAGGGCTGAACTGGCCGCTGAGTTCCCGCTGCCTTCTGGGGCATGTGCCCATCCAGGCTCTTGCAAGGGATGGGAAGCAGAAGGTGGTAAGTGCCCTCCTAACCATACCCAAGCACTCCGAGTTTGTTGGCGATGTCCATTTTGCTCTAGGAGTTCACGGTGACGTAACCCTAACCCTAAGTGGAATTTTCCTCCAATGAGATTTTCCCATGTATTTTATAGAAAGGGCAGCCTAGAAAAGTCAGTGCCCTCCTAACCATACCCAAGCACTCCGAGTTTGTTGGCGATGTCCATTTTATTCTAGGAGTTCATGGTGACGTAACCCTAACTGGAATTTTCCTGCAATGGGATTTTCCCATGTATTTTACCAGGAAAAATAGATAGGGCAGCCTAGAAAGGTCAGTGCTCTCCTAACCATACCCAAGCACTCCTAGTTTGTTGGCGATGTCCATTTTGCTCTAGGAGTTCATGGTGATGTAACCCTAACTCTAAGTGGAATGTTCCTCCAATGGGATTTTCCCATGTATTTTATAGAAAGGGCAGCCTAGAAAAGTCAGTGCCCTCCTAACCATACCCAAGCACTCCGAGTTTGTTGGCGATGTCCATTTTGCTCTAGGAGTTCATGGTGACGTAACCTAACCCTAAGTGTAATTTTCCTCCAATGGGATTTTCCCATTTATTTTACCAGGAAACATAGATAGGGCAGTCTGGAAAAATCAGTGCCGTCCTAACCATACCCAAGCACTCTGAGTTTGTTGGCGATGTGTATTTTGCTCTAGGAGTTCATGGTGATGTAACCCTAACCCTAAGTGGAATTTTCCTCCAATGGGATTTTACCAGGAAACATAGAAAGGGCAGCCTAGAAAGCTCACTGCCCTCCTAACCAAACCCAAGCACTCCGAGTTTGTTGGCGATGTCCATTTTGCTCTAGGAGTTCACAGTGACGTAACCCTAACCCTAAGTGGAATTTTCCTCCAATGGGATTTTCCCATGTACTTTACCAGGAAACATACATAGGGCAGCCTAGAAAACTCAATGCCCTCCTAACCATACCCAAGCACTCCGAGTTCGTTGGGAATGTCCATTTTGCTCTAGGAGTTCATGTTGACGTATCCCTAACCCTAAGTGGAATTTTCCTCCAATGAGATTTTCCCATGTATTTTACCAGGAAACATACATAGGGCAGCCTAGAAAAGTCAGTGCCCTCCTAACCATACCGAAGCACTCCAAGTTCGTTGGCGATGTCCATTTTGCTCTAGGAGTTCATGGTGACATAACACTAACCCTAAGTGGAATTTTCCTCCAATGGGATTTTCCCATGTTTTTTACCAGGAAACATAGATAAGGCAGCCTAGAAAAGTAAGTGTCCTCGTGACCATACCCAAGCACTCCGAGTTTCTTCGTGATGTCCATTTTGCTCTAGGAGTTCATGGTGACATAACCCTAACCCGAAGTGGAATTTTCCTCCAATGGGATTTTCCCATGTTTTTCACCAGGAAACATAGATAAGGCAGCCTAGAAAAGTCAGTGCCCTCCTGACCATACCCAAGCACTCCGAGGTTGTTGGCGATGTCCATTTTGCTCTAGGAGTTCATGGTGACGTAACCCTAATCCTAAGTGGAATTTTCCTCCAATGGGATTTTCCCATGTATTTTACCAGGAAACATACATAGGGCAGCCTAGAAAAGTCAGTGCCCTCCTAACCATACCGAAGCACTCCAAGTTCGTTGGCGATGTCCATTTTGCTCTAGGAGTTCATGGTGACATAACCTAACCCTAAGTGGAATTTTCCTCCAATGGGATTTTCCCATGTTTTTACCAGGAAACATAGATAAGGCAGCCTAGAAAAGTAAGTGTCCTCGTGACCATACCCAAGCACTCCGAGTTTCTTCGTGATGTCCATTTTGTTCTAGGGGTTCATGGTGATGTAACCCTAACCCTAAGTGCAATTTTCCTCCAAATGGATTTTCCCATGTATTTTACCAGGAAACATAGATAGGGCAGCCTAGAAAAATCAGTGCCCTCTTAACCATACCCAAGCACACCGAGTTTGTTGGCGATATTCATTTTGCTCTAGGAGTTCATGGTGACATAACCCTAACCCGAAGTGGAATTTTCCTCCAATGGGATTTTCCCATGTATTTTACCAGGAAACATAGATAGGGCAGCCTAGAAAAATCAGGGCCCTCCTAACCATACCCAAGCACTCCGAGTTTGTTGGCAATGTCCATTTTGCTCTAGGAGTTCATGGTATTGTAACCCTAACCCTAAGTGGAATTTTCCTCCAAATGGATTTTCCCATTTATTTTACCAGGAAACATAGATAGGGCAGTCTAGAAAATCAGTGCCGTCCTAACCATACCCAAGCACTCTGAGTTTGTTGGCGATGTCTATTTTGCTCTAGGAGTTCACGGTGACGTAACCCTAACCCTAAGTGGAATTTTCCTCCAATGGGATTTTCCCATGTATTTTACCAGGAAACATAGAAAGGGCAGCCTAGAAAGGTCAGTGCCCTCCTAACCATACCCAAGCACTCCGAGTTTGTTGGCGATGTCCATTTTGCTCTAGGAGTTCATGGTGACGTAACCCTAATCCTAAGTGGAATTTTCCTCCAATGGGATTTTCCCATGTATTTTACCAGGAAACAAACATAGGGCAGCCTAGAAAAGTCAGTGCCCTCCTAACCATA